TTTTTTGTTTTTCGAGACAGGGTTTCTCTGTGTTGCTTTGGTTCCTGTCCTGGAACTAGCTCTGGTAGACCAGGCTGGCCTCGAACTCAGAGAGATCCGCCTGCCTCTGCCTCCCAAGTGCTGGGATTAAAGGCATGCACCACCACCGCCTGGCTTTGTGTTTGATTTTTGAGATGGATCTCATGTAGCCCATGGTGGTCTCACATTTCCTGATTCCTCCAGGCATTGGTGCTACTACAGGCATGTGTACTGTCTTGATTTTGAAACGCGGTCTCTTAAATATGAGAAAACCAAATGTTTATTTGCATAGAAAATGTAGCATAATACTGATTGTATAAATACCTCAAAATTTAGTGGGTACATGTATTTGTAGTTTTGTTGAAATGGAGTCTTAAACCAGGCGGTGGTGGTACATGCCTTCAATCCCAGCACTTGGGAGGCAGAGGTAGGCGGGTCTCTGTGAGTTCGAGGCCAGCCTGGTCTACAAGAGCTACTTCCAGGACAGGCTCCAAAGCAACACAGAAACGCTGTCTCAAAAAAAAAGAAAGGAAAAAGAATAAAGAAATGGACTTTTAATCCATCTTGGTTTACATAGTGAGTTTTAGGACAACCAGAGCTACATAGTGAGGCCCTGTATCAGTTTTTAATGATTGTATACTGTTTGCTTTTAATCTCTTGTTAGGGTTTGTCAATGAGGCAGATCAGATTCCGGTTTGATGGACAGCCAATCAATGAAACAGACACACCTGCACAGTTGGAAATGGAGGATGAAGATTGAAAAAAAATTGTTTTTTTTTGGGTATGGTTGCATATATTTATGCATGGGTGTGTGTGTGTGCGCGTGTGCGTGCACACATACCTACAGAAGTCAATGAGGACATCATGTGTTTTGTCCTATTGCTCTAAGCTTTATTCCTTTAAGACGGGGTATTCCTAGAAATTGGAGGTTGTTTGGAATCAGTGTTTCTCTATTCCTCCAGTCTCTGCCACCTATGGTGCTGGGGATCCAAATGCTCAGCTTTTTTACATAGGTACAAGGAACCAAACTTGGGTCCCATAAGCAAACACTCTTAGCCACTATTCTATCCAGCCTTGTGTTCTATCTTTTTTTGTTTTTGTTTTCTCCCTCGCTTTGTTAAAGGATAGGGCCACCACCTTTTGTTATCTTTCTTTTTGTTTATTTGTTTTTTGAGGCAGGGTTTCTCTGTAATCTTAGCTGTTCTAGAACTTGCTCTGTAGGAACACACAGATCCGCCTTGCCTCTGCCTCCCGAGTGCTGGGATTAGAGATGTGCACCAATAAAAGTGAATTTTTTTTTTGCTCTGTTCTTGTTGGGGATATTTTTGGTTTTTATCTATTCTTGGCTCAGTTAGCCTGCTCTCTTGTTCTTGTTCTCTGAACTTGCCTGTGTATGTGTAGGTGACTTCTTATAAACCTGCCTGGGTGAGGTGATGCTGTTCTATCTCCTTAACTCTCTGACCTAGCACTGCAGGTCTTATTTGCTTTTTTGCTGTATCTACAATAGATAGTTTTCTCTATCTGAAGCATTGTATCCATTTCCTCTAAAACTTTCTTAAATTTAAGACTTTAAATCACTGAATTTTTTGCTTGCTTGTTTTTGATTATGTGATAGGGTTTTCCTGTGTGGTTCTGCCTGTTCTGAAAGGTGGTCTGTACTATAGATAGGGCTGGCCTAGAATCGAGGTTTTCCTGCCTTTGCATCTCTAGTGCTAGGACTTAAAGGCATGCTCAGCCACTGGTTGGTTTAAATCACCTAATTCTTGTGAGTAGAAATTTAAATTGGATCCTTTGGGCTTTCATTGTTTTTGGGTTTGTAGTGCTCATGTCTTTGCCTCATGTAATTTATAGGCACATACAACCAAAGTTGGTTTTTAGACATACTGTTTACTAACTTGGCCTTGGACATTGAGAAGGCCTTCTGGAATTAACGAAGTGTGAGCCACTTACTACCTGATTTGAGTTTCAGCTTTAATTCTCAAAAATTGTAGGGGAGCGGGTTATGGTGCCATCCACCTTAATTTAATCCCAGCACTCAAGTAGAGCAGGTGGATCTGGTCTACAGTAGTGATTTCTGGGATAGCCAGCGCTACACAGTGAGAACATTTTAACCTAGCCTGTCCAACCTCCCACCAAAAAAATGAGGGAGTGAGCACTTATTGCTCTTACACGAGAGACCTGGCATTGCTTTCCAGGACCCACGGGCTACCTGTGTAACTCTAGTATGTGAATTTGTTGCACTTACATACATGCGGACTTGGGTTCATAATGAACGGAGATGGTGGTAGTGCACCACACCTTTAATCCCAGCAGAGAAACCCTGTCTTGGGGAAAAAAAGAAATTCATACTGAACTGGGCGTGGTGGTGTATGCCTATCCTAGCACTTGGTTAGCAAAAACACACAAATCTCTGATAAGTTGGTGTACAGAGGGAATTCCAGGATACATATAGCTACACAGAAACTCAGTTTCGATTGTTCCTGTTTTTTATATTAAAATCAGTAGAGAGGGTTAAATAGTCAGGAACATAAACATCAAGGTGTGAGCCGGGTGATGGTGGCGCAGGCCTTTAATCCCAGCACTTGGGAGGCAGAGGCAGGTGGATCTCTGTGAGTTCGAGACCAGCCTGGTCTACAGAGCTAGTTCCAGGACAGGCTCCAAAGCCACAGAGAAACCCTGTCTCAAAAAAACAAACAAACAAAAAAATCAAGGTGTGATTTTACTGATGGACTTCAAGACTTGCCTTGTCTGAGTTCTAGTTAAGGAAAATGTGCTAAAGAAATCTCACTAGTGGCAGTCTTCAGTTATATTTTGTAACCACAAGGAGGTGCTAAATGTTTACTTTGTAACTGGTATGTATGTTTTGATGCATTTAAATTTCACCATAAAATAATACTTTAATATGAAAGTTGATAGGTATTCCATTAAATTTGTTACCCTGGAAAATTGTAAAAAAGTTGAATTTGAAATTCATTTTAGAATTGTTTTCTCCCATTGTCTTTATTATGTATATAGTGTTCTGCCGGTTTGTGTTTTTTTTTTTTTTTTTTGATTTCGTAGCTTTTTGGTTCCTGGAACTAGCTCTTGTAGACCAGGCTGGCCTCAAACTCACAGAGATCCGCCTGCCTCTGCCTCCCGAGTGCTGGGATGCCAATTCATTTTTTACAGTGATGCCTATGTGTTAAGACCTTATACAACTACCATTGTGGTTGTTTTATATATAATGTGGTTAGTGAACCTTAAAATTCCAAGTTTTGAAGTTAGATTTATTTATTAAACAAGTAAACCTCTGGTCCAGCATGGCGTTCGCCTTTAATCCCAGCACTCGGGAGGCAGAGACAGACAGGTTTCTTGAATTTGAGGCCAGCCTCATCTACAGAGTGAGTTCAGAACAGTAAGCTGTTACACAGAGAAATGTAAAAAGTTTATATTGATGTTTAATTTATGATAAGTCGGGGGTTTTAAGAATGAGTATCTCATGTTGTAGTCTAGGCTGGTGTCAGAATATAGAGTATTGCCTCAATCTCTGGGGTGCTGAGATTACAGGTGTATGGTGTTTGATGATTGGGTTAATCAAAACTGTTTGAATCCCAACACTTGTCAGACTGACTTAGGATTGCTAAGTGTTTGAGACCAGCCTGTGACTGGTACCACATTCATTGCCCTTTCTTGAGCTTCATAATGCCAGGGTTTTAGACAGGTGAGTGTCACCATGCCCAGTTTTTATGAAGCTGACATCTATAGTAGTGAAGCCTGCAGTGCAACGGGATGTGTACTTTTCTGTAAATTTAATACGAAAACTAGATTTTTTAAATTTTTCCTCGGGGGTCTTAAATTTGTTTTCTTTTCTATGCTAGTTGGAAATGGAGGATGAAGACACGATTGATGTGTTCCAGCAGCAGACAGGAGGTGTCTACTAAAAAGGGAACCTGCTACTTTACTCCAGAATTTTGTTATAGACCAAGAATACATTCGCAATTAGAAAGCCGCAATTTGGTTCCACCACATCCTGACTACTACAGTATAGTTTTCTCTTATTCTTTCATTTCCCTGTCCCCATTTCTTTATTGTACATAAAGTAACTGGTGTATGTGCACAAGCATATTGCGCTTTTTTCTTTCCTTTTTTTTTTTT